CTGTTTGCAAATTAAATTGAGCGATTTCAATTTGCCCGATAACTCGTAGTTTTTAAGTGCACTAAGTACTTAAAAATATGTCATACTAGCTTTCGCCCGCGACTCCGTCCGCGTGGTATTAAAAAAAAGAAAGTAGCCTATGTGTTATTCTAGACTATCCTCTACATCTATACCAAATTTCATCGAGATCCCTTCAGCCGTTTAGGCTACAAACTCTAACAAACATCCATCCATCCATCTAAACTTTCCTCATCACCAGCTCACTATACGTCCCCACCGAGGGGCTCGGAGCCTACCCTAGACTAGGCCCTAGTCAACCACGCTGGCCCAGTGCGGGTTGGTTGACTTCACACATATCTTAGAATTTCTTCGCCGATATGTGCAGATTGCATCACGATGTTTTCCTTCACCGTAAGAACGTCGGTTAAATTATGTACATATGAAAAATCGAAAATCACAATGGTACGGCGGGAGTCGATCCCAAGACCTGTAGATTACAAGTCAAGTGTTCAAACCACTGAGCCACCGACGCTCCTTAAAAAACTTCCTCTAAACTTTCGCATTTACAATATTAGTTAGATACAGCACCGATGCTAAAATAAAATTGAATACTATATAAACCATTTTTCTTTCAAAACTACAACAATGAAACTTTAATTCTATCTTTTCATGGCTTCCACATTTCAACAAAATTCGTCCAAACAATATCGTGACCTAAAAATAACACAAAAGCTATTGTAGCTGTACTCAGATATTTTAATTTTAACTTAAAGTAGAGTAAGTTGCGCTACTTATTTGTACAGTCGAGGAAATACGCGGTGTAACACTTTCAGATATATTGACTTACAGACTCCGCCTCTTTACAAACAACCAATTAGGTTGCAGTAAGTTACGTATACGAGATACCAACAAAATGCAATTAGATACAACCGTTTTTGTTATACAGGAAAGATGCGTTCTATTGAATATAGCTGTAGCTAGCAACTTCGTCCGCGTTGAAAAAAAAAAAGTAAAAAGAGCAGCCAACATAGTTTTATAATAACAAGAAGTTATTTCAATATTAGTTTAAATTATTCCGCGTCTTAACGCGTATAAAATGTTTAACCGATTATGGCCTTTAAGATGTAACACCGTAAGATTCCTTGAATGTACATTACGATTAACTTAATGACGTAAAGTGCTTAAGAATTCAAAAAAACGTATTAAGTGAATGACGTCATTATCGAGAAAGATTTTACCTGAAGATTATTGGATTGGACCTAGAAAATAGTAATAAAAACCTATTAAATCGATTGATAGGTGTAGTACATCCCCTTCTTATTTCCTAATAACAATAAGGGACAGGGATATGATTAAAATTCGGGTTTCGGAACGCATTTGTCCGCGGATTGATTTCTACTTGCCTGTCTATGAGGTCGTGGTATTCTTTGTAGAGACAATAATCTGCAGCTAAGCTAAATAACGTTTTACTCAAAACATATTCCATTCTAACCTAAAAACTTCTTACGTCAAACCAAAACGTATTTACGTAAAACAAAAGATAATTAGAGTCTGAGATCTCTTGAATTTGTTTTAAAATAGTCATCAGTTTTTGTACTAAACAGTTGTTCAATTACGTAAAAAAACAAACTGCCAATTAGGTTAATTGAATTACTAAATATAATTAGGACACTGCTCTCATTCGAAGTTAAAAACGCAATTAAATCATTGTCATAGAGTAAAAGAATATTTATTGCGTAAACATAGATTAAATATTACCTATAGTTATGAAGAGTTACGTATTACATATTACATGTAGATATAACCGATAACACGAAAGTAATTGATAATTTAACGATGTTAAGATGTAGTTTAAATTAAAACATTTTTATTTAAACTACAGTTTTAGTTTTACTTTTAATATAAGTATTTTTGATTTAGGTTAACTTCTTACCTAACGTCTTCAGCATAAACTTTCACAATCTTGTAGCGAAGAAAAATATTACGTAAGTATTGAAAAATGTTAATATGTTTAAATGTTTAATTTTGTGTTTTTCACCACACTTTTACACTTGATATTGTTAACTAAACACGAGAAATATAGAGTTTTTGTAGAGAAATACTGAATAAGTGCTTGTAAAATGGAGTCGATGTCCCTTAGTATTATTGATATAGGGTTGTGAGGGGCGGCATCGCGCATGCGTGTATTTCGCACCCTCATTATTTTTTTTTTCGTTCGAAAACTGTAAGAACGCAATTCAATTTTTGTAAGTCAATACTGCTTTATTATCCTGTACTTTACATTGTTTAATATTTCTTATTAAATAAATAAATTTTATATAATCAAGATTTTGCATGAACACTCCTAACCTTGGGTTTTATACTGTGGTGTAAGACCTTACACTCAAATACCAGCGCCCGGGCTACTTTTCTACGGCCCCTACCTTTTTTTACCCTGCCTTTGGGGTGACTTGAAAAGTATAATTCACTGATCGGTGGCGCCCAATCCTGTTCAGCGCCCTGGGCGGTTGCCCAACTGCGCCCTATCCTAACACCGATACTCATTATCCACTTGCCCTTATCCCTTACGGAGGGTCGGCACAGTATGTGCTGCTCCAAATATCTCTATCAGCCGTCATATCTGAATCCATTCCTTTCTTAAGCATATACTCTTTCACACAATCCATTCATACTTTCTTCGGTCTTCCTCTTCCTTTGTAGCCATCCACATTCAATCTAAACACTTTCTGGTTTATGTTCCCATCGTTTCGTCGCATAACATGTTCATACCACCTAACACCGGTACTGCCTGGTCTAAATAACATCGTTATCACATATTCAAAGAAAATAAAGAGTGGAGTGTCAATTACAGTTAAAAGCCTCAGACAGGAGGTAAAGGACAGTTTCTTCAAATAAGCCCAAATGTATGGTAGCTGTCCACCCCATAGAGTTACAGCTTCTGCCTATGAATGTTGAATGATCCTAAAAATAATCATTTTTAATCTAATCGTTAGTGTTTATGGTTACACTTAACTTGATACAAAATGTTTACGTGATCTTTTCACTCTAACCTTTTGTTTCTCAATTTCTCCACCACTGGCGCTACTTTCAAACTTCCTATATACACATTCTAAACTTTATCCCTTCTTAAGAGAAAATTAAAAACGGCTCAACTCACGTTTTATCCTCCGGTGACGGCACCGACTAGTTTTAGACCCTTCGGGGTTTCCGACGTTCAGTGCGAGGTGCGACATGACTGCGAACAAAGCTTACTAATACTCGCTCTGAAAGTGGATCACCGAAGGGTCTGAAACTAGTCGGTGCCGTCTGCAATCGGCTTTCAGATGAAATTCAATCTTCTCGAAACTTGAAAAAGTGAGATGACTAATTCTTTATACAGATATTTCGCTAGTGAAAACTTAAGGTATCAGACCAGACTCGCCATTTACTTAGAAAAAAAATGTAAGTCTCTTGCTTTAAATAATCTCATGATAGTTAGGGAATATAAAATGTCATTTTTTAACTGCAAATCCTTATTCATTGTAATTCAAGTATAGTTTAATGGTTTGGGGCCTGTCCCACCAGCTGCTAGAGGCAGTGGTAGTGCCCGCTTTAACATCTTAGCACGAATCCGGCACGCCCGGTGTAATACCACGACCACACAGAAGACAGGCGTGAAATGGAAGCTATTCCGTGTTTCGTCTGATGTGAGTGTGGTGCCGGAGACCTAATTTAAGTCCCTTTCTCTTTACCACCCTTTTCTTATAAGGAGAGGATGGGAACGGAAGGTGGATTTGACGGTAGAGGAGATGTATAAGTAGGGGAAATATCCTCTTTATATGCGTCTCCTCCTCTGTCGTATAAGGGTAGGCAACGCACCTGCAATTGCGGATGTCCATGGGCAGCGGTCGCTTTGCCATTTTGGCGGATTCAGGTGGCCGCTTGCTCGTTTGCCACCTTATGTTATAAAAAAAAAGGCTCAGATAGCTTATAAATGACGTCACTGTCAAGGGAACAACATCCGATATTTCAATCACATATTTTAGACGTTCGATTGTTATCAATTTTAAATTTGGTGGGACAGGTTCTTAGTCCTTTTTATAGCACACACATTTGACTAAACTATCACAGACCTATTCAGTAGCGCTTTGATTCCTATGAGTCTATATGTAGGTGCGGACACCCGATTTTTAGTTCTGTAAACAGTTGAATTGCCTGCGAAACAATCGACAATCGCACAACCGTCGTGCGATAGTTTAGTCAAAGTAGTGCACTCTCTCTTTCAGGGTATAAGGTTAAAATGAAACACAAAGAAAATCTACATGAATAAAATTTTGTATTTCACATTTTTGAAATATAGTTACACAATAGTAGTCTTTAATAAAATATTGCTATGCTATAGTTTGCAACAACACTCAAAAATACATTGCTCTTAACATAACGTATATCTCTATAGTTGAATGTAACTTCGATTTAACTGCATTGTTACTAAATTCATCTATGTCACTAAATATTAACCTAATTATACGCGGATTCCTGAAAAAAAACAATAGTTAGTAAAAAATAAAAAAATATAAATCGTGTCGGAGGCCAAGACCCACTTCGGGTCGCTGCGCCAACGCAGTAAGTAAGTAAGTAAGTAAGTAAGTAAGTAATATTATAAATGCGAAAGTTTAGACGGATGGATGTTTGTTAAAATTTGTAGTCTAAACTACTGAACGGATTTCGATGAAATTTGGTATAGATGTAGAGGATAGTCTGGAACAACACATAGGCTACTAACTTTTGTTGTTTTTTTTTAATTCCACGCTTACTGAGTCGCTCCCGAATGCTAGTAGATAACACTTGGAAAATCTTAAAGGACTTTAATTCCTATAGGTAATTTAATTACAAACTTATTGATAAGCATTTCGTTGAAAAAATATTACAAAATACATTTCCACGTGATCTTCGGTCTGCAACCCTTTAGACCAAATTGCCGGCGACTTATGTAGCTATGTTAAATATTTGGTCTAAGGAATAAGGTAGAGAAAGACTAACACTATTGTCTTTTAAGAGTAAAAGTTAGTATAAATTGTACATATTAAAAAACATACCTATCTTAGCACCTTTAATTATTTGGTCATCCCCTGTTTAGCTCGTCGTTCCCACTTCGCCCTCATCTGCAAAATACCCTTAAACTGCGGCGACGCGTCCGCCTCTCCCGTGCTCACTCTCTCCTCACTCTCCACTCTATCCTTCCCACTCTCACCTTCTATCACAGAACTCTCTCTTCTCTCTTTCTCCACCGACAATCTGAATTCATCTTTCCTCTGCCAAGGACGCTTTGTCAATGTATCCGCTTTGTAAGCCATTACTTCACTCTTTACCATGTCTCTGTCATTCGAAGGGTCAGGGAATGTTCTATTCCTTAGTCTCTTTTCTGGTGTAGAATCTGATACTTCTTTTTTGTATTTATTTATCTCGTTTCTGTAAATTGGTGCGCTTTCTCGTTTTACGTTAGATACGCTGTGTATACTAACGCTTCTTTGATAATGTACACCAAATTGACTGACCCTAGCCGCGATGTCTACTAATTTGTTCTCTGCTTGATCCTTACCGTCATTCTCTTTGTCACTATCTCTAGATTTTATGGATGCGTTAAATTCATTTTTTAGTATTTTAGATTTTGTATTGTCATCTTTTTTATCTTTGGTGTCAGCGATCTCTTGAGCTATAGAATCTGCTTCGGTATCTTTGATTTTTAGAGATCGTCTCGCGAAAACTTTCATTAACTCCGGTTCGTCGTCGTTCCTTCTATCTCTTGTCTCTTTACCTATTATTGGTTTCTTTCTGTACACGACTGTTTCTTCCTGTCTATCGATTTTGTTTTCATTACTGTCGAAACTTTGGATAGAACTTTTGCTTCCGAAACTGGAATGTGACTTTTGGTCAATAGATATGTTGTCGTATATTTTTTCGATGCTACCTTCTGTGCTTAGGGAGTTTGTTCTAGTTTTTTCTGGTTTGTCTTGATGATCAACACTTACAGCTTTTCTTTTGAAAAAGTTTCGTGGCGTAGAAGGACTGCCTGATTGAGTTTGAATTGTCTTTCCAATTTTATCTACTACTTGAGTGTTTTCTATGTCAACTTTGATTGGTTCTTTTTCTAGAGTGTTTAGTACTTTTGTTTCTGTTATTGGAAATGTTTCTATATCTTGTTCTTTATCTTGTTGCGGTATTTCCTTCTTTGGTGTTAGATTGGCAGTTAAAACAACATTTGTTATCGGTTTTGCATCAACTTTGTTTAATTGAATGTTGAGAAACTCGGGAACGCCAGGTTTGGTGGGTTTCTGCAATTTTTCGTCGCTTTTGTTGATTTTAGTTTCCAAATTTTTAACTGCCACTGGAGTTAATTCTCTATTGACATGAGTCACAGAGATAAAGTTTTCTGAATCGTATTTGGTTTCTATTTGTGTTATTTTTTCTGTTTGACTCAAAGCACTTTCGATTGATATTGTTTTTCTTCTATCGTCGACTTTCTCCGGACTGCTCTTAACGCTGTCTAAGGAATTGGATTTGAGTATTGTAGGTGCTATTAAAGGTTTTGGAGAACTGATTATGTCGTCAATTTTTGCTTCAATTTGTGATATATCACTGTCACGTTTATGTGAGTCTAGAGTTATATGAATACTGTTAGTGAATAGTTTCCTATCATCTTCAGCTTTAAGACTATCTAGATAGCTACTATCTGTACTTTGCAAGCTATCGTAGTTCGTTTCAGAGTTTGATTGGACGATATTATAGTTTCTCGCGGATACTCTTTTAGAGTAATCGTGTCTGTCGACATTCCTTCTGTAGTTCACTTCCCAGCTCTCCAGCAAGGGTTCGGATATACCGACAATCGCAGGGAGACTTGGCATTTGGTTCTCTTGTGAACTAATAGAAGTCGATTCGGACGCGTAACGGAAACTATGCGACTTTCCAATACTGCTCCTGGTCTCGTATTCATCTCCTAATGACCTTATACCAGAAGTAACGTATGATTCCTCAGATTTTGTAGGGAATTGTATTTCACGTTCAATCTTCTCTCGATATTCGACGTTTTCTGAAGATCGTGTGGTTTTCTTAACGTTTTCTGATGATTGACTTATTTTTGTCTGAGGCTGTGATACTACGATGCTGGGGTTGAAGTAGGGTAAATTCTTAGGCATGCTTCCACTATGGAATGTATACTCAGGGTTGGTTTTAATTCTCATCGCTCTTAAGGGAGGCTCTTCATCGGATATTTCTAGCGACGGGGATAATGCTTCTTCTTGGGATTGGTTGATTTCGTTGGTAATGAACGCTTTGGATGAAAATGGATCCATTAAGCGTTGAACTGACGCTGGTCTTTTAGCTTTATCCAAGTTTAGATTGAAGGATTCCCTCTTATCATCTATAGCTTCTCTTGATGTGGAACGTTTTCTTTCTTTTTCGGTGAAATCTTCTCTTCTACTAAAGCGACTCTTCATTTCCAGGTTCAGCATAGTGTCAGTTTCCTCTGCTATTTTGAGATCAGTAATGTACTCAATGCCGGATACTTTGGCTGCACTGTAGGCGTCTTTATACCCATCTTGTGCGTAACCACCTTGTTTGTCCATACGCTTGTGTTGTTGGTTTGCGAAGGCCTTTTGTCCCGCAGATTTATATGACCTCTCCATCGGAATAGGTTTGTACACCTGTGGCTCAGGGTGAAATTCAAGCTCAGATGTTGTAGTTCTAGATTTTTCTGTTTTCGATTTCTTCACTTCCTGACATTCTCCATCTGTTTGGTCTTTCTTTGATTTCTTCCCGCTCTTCCTTAATAATAGTCTACTGAAGAAGGATTCTTCTTTTTTACATTTAATGACTTCGTTTTCTATTTTCTTTTCAGATTTCGATTTCTTATCGTGGCAAGTTTCTTCGGCGTATTTCTTATCTAGGCGGTACTTAGAACGATCTTCTGTATACTTGTGTATTGGTGAATCTCCATAGGGTTTTGGGGATTCTCTTAGTGGTTGTTCCTGAGTGCTGGATTTGCTCCTCTTGATGGAAGACCGGGGTGTGTTTGAGTCAGCGATGCTGAGCTTGGCAGGGGAGGAGACCCCCTGTCCGAGGGCGAGGCCGGGCGGCAGGGAGGAGGACTTGAGTTTGGCGTCGCTCGGTTCCACAACTCTTTGTAATTCGCGATTTAATTGCTGATGTTGCTCCTTAACGATCATTTGTCTCGTAGTCGATGAAGAGAATGATTCTGGAAGAGAAACGACATTTGAATTAATAAATTGGTTATTATCTAACACGCAAATATACTTTAAATTATTAATGCGAAAGTTCAGGTGTTAGAAGGCAGACCTTGATGACATATACAGATGTGAACCATAGTATGGAACACAGGCTACTTACTTAGTTTTTTAAATACTCGTAAATTCGCGGGCAAAAGCTACATACTACTATTCTAAGATAGACTATGTACTGTGCTATACTATATTACTCGTAATATTGGGCAAATAACATACAAAAAAACATGTACAAAGAACGATTGATGAAACGTTTTGGCGTCATCGTTATTCTTTCATTGTCTTCTAATTCAAGTTATCGTTCATTCATCTTCCATACACTTTTATACAGTCCAATCTATACTATTATAATAAAGCGTAAACACACACTTCTTTGTTGCCTAAGATGTCAGCAATTACAGAATATTTCTGAATAATTCTTTTTTTAATAAAAAGCCAGACACGTACGTCATGCTTTAGGCTATATATTTTTACGCCATCAAAATTAGGGAAAGAGACCAAAGTTGCTGCCAACATCAAGGAAGCAAAATTGCCATGCTTTGTCATCATGTCATGTCATTTTGACATTTGCAATTGAATTTGACAGATCTAATCACAATCTAACACAATCACGAAACAATACACAATAGAACAACAGTTGTGCAATAGTTTAGTCAGAGGTTTGCGTCCGCTCTAATTGTACTAACCAGTAACAACTCCTGCGTGTAGCGCGACCTCAGGAGTAGTGCTTCGTATCATTTCTTCGTTCAGTTCGGGCGTTATCGGCAGCGCGGTCGCACCCAACTGGAAAGATTTAAATATTCCTCAATAGATGGTGCTGCCAATTTTACAAATGATAGACAGTAAATTCAGGTTTATTTTATTGAATATTCGTCTGCGTGTATTAAAAATTTAGCCAATGTTAGTTACTGAAAACGTAGTTTTTTAATGATGAGAATTTTTGGAATCGGCCCAGTAGTTTTTGAGTTATTTCAATACATACAAAAATATAAACCTTTCCCCTTTTAGTATAGACTTTAGAAGTTAACTTAAAGCCGGTTTCCCAGATACTTTTAACTATTTTTAGTGGTTTTGGTTCGATATTTATGAAAAAAGTTTCCAATATACGAAATTTTTTCTTCGTTGAAACTTATTGAAACTTAACACAAGAAAATCACTAGGAAATATAATAATTCGAAACTTCATCAACTCAGAATAAATAGAATATTTTATTTCTTTGTAGTTTTAATTACCGGGTTCGTCTTTTTCCTTCTTGGCGCGCCATGTGTGCGTCGCGGGCGCACCGCCATCTTGTGACGCGCGGCTGAATGCGACAGTGGCGCCACACCCGGCGGCGGCTCCGATACATCTGGAATTATTATAACAGTGAACTGTAGTAACTTGGTAAATCACACTAATATTATAAATGTAAAAGTTTAGATGGATGGATGTTTGTTAGAGTTTATAGCCTAAACTGCTGAAGGGATCTCGGTGGAATTTGGCATAAATGTAGAGGATAGTCTGGAAGGACACATAGTCTAATTGAATTTTTTTTTCCACGCGGACGAAGTCGCGGGCGAAAGCTAGTTTCTCATATTTATTTATCACAGAGAACACGGAATTGACAGTCTTACTGTAGAGGTCAGAGTGATCGCTGCGTGAGGAGTGGTCTTGGGAGTGATGATTTCCACTGCTACTGTCCTCATCCATCTCCGAAGAGCCGACACTGAGCAGAGAACCGTCGCTGCACGACGACTGCGAGATACCCGCATGGTGCCGCTGAAACAAACATATACATTCAATAAGAGTGATAGAGATAGAAGATACAGGGATTTTGGGAACAAACTGTCTCTTGACTCTCACTCCATATAGAGTCCATATAGATAAGGACGGATATAACTAAATGAAATTATAGACTTAAAACGTCAAGGATTAAAGTATCCAGAACTGAAGTTTAGTAACATAATGTTTTTTTTTAAATTATAGATGCATTTAAAATAACTATCATAGTAATATACACATTATTGTAATAATTTTACGCAATTGTTTTAAATAATTGTTTAGCGTTTTCTGTAACACGTACTATAAACAGACATGTAAGATCATTGTGTAAAGTAATGTGAAACTGTGAAAAATAATGTTATGTCGACTTTTAATACGTAATAAGTAAGAATAAGTTAATATTTTTGACATAAAAATACAAACACGAGAAAAGTTTCATACAAGTCTTATGAGATCTCAACAAAATCGTTTTGTCTAAATTAATTGTTACTTAAAATAACTATTTTCTTATTAACAGACATCTAGAATATCTTACAATAAAAATTAAAAGATAATTAATGATTTGACGATTAATTCCTTATTTAATAAAAAAAACCCTATATTTACAACACGCTCTGTGTTATATATTGTCACGCTATCAAACTTAAGGAGTAAATAAATTGGATAAAACCTTCATGTAGGAAAGAGATCATAAACTACAAGCTGCCAACATTTAACAAGCAATGTTATTATGGTAACGGTAATTTTGACATTTTAAATTGAGAATTTGACAAATGCAAACAATGAAGTAAAGTTTTTATAATTTTGTGCGGATGAAGCCGCACGGGAACAGCTAGTAAGAAGTAAAACATGAAATACATCTTGTTAAACAGAAAAATATCAGTATCATAAAATATTAGGACAATTTCCTCGTAGATAAGAATGATATGCAAATGTCAATCATGCAAGATAAAAATGTAAAGCAAACGGCTGATATTCCATTGTTCTCAAATATTGGAAACAACAATCTGTACTAATATAATAAAGCGTAAACACACACTTCTTTCTTGCCTAACATGTCAGCAATTACAGCATATTTTCGAATAACTCTTTTTTAATAATTATTAACCAAAGGCATCGCTAGCCGATAGGGTTGGAGGCACATCGATAATCAAGACCCTTACTAGGAGTAAAAATATATTTTATATTCCAAAGAGATTGCTTTAGTGAAAACTAACAAGTTATTTTTAAGTTATTTACGGGTCTCTAGGAATTGTAAAAACCTTTGTGTTTTGATATAATTTATATCACAATTTTCGCCTCTCTAAGGGCAGCTGCCCTGCAACACCCATTCATATTTTATTACGTAAATATTAAATGGAACACAGGTTTAATTTACTATATCATTCGATGTTTTACAGCACTAGTGTCTTTATCGATAAACAAACCTTTATATTGGCACTGATCTGTCTCCGTCGTGGTGGGCGACGTACAGGCACCTCGCCTGCGGTCTGCACGTAGAGCATCATATTTCATCGATAACTAACGTGGTTCACGCACAACACTAGTACACACGCATTCTGTTTATAATGCTTCACATTTTTATCACTAATTATTTTAAATGCACTTATTATTAATAATATTCTTATTAACTATGCTGTCAATTCTAATCTTTTACTTGATTATTTTATTATCTAAATAATAGAGAATGTTAGTTATATGGTTACGCTTCATGCGTTCACTAGTATACCAATCGACGTATATTTTCAGAAATACAAAGGACTTTTAGATATATTTAAAAAAAATAAAACGCTAAAAATCTATCATGTTCAAATTCAAAAGCGACATATCGACAAATGTCACGATAATCGAGCTTATCGATAAATTAAGAGATCGGGATCGAGAAAACAAATCTCTTGACACACACGCGAATTTAGAACTTGACACGATAGGAGAAAAGACTATTTTCGCTTGCGTGGATCACGTTAGACTTGTCAAATTTCACTAAACCCGTGTATGCGATCAGAATCATAAATATGTATATAAATTTTTGTTTAAAGTGATTTTATTACTAGCGGTAACATATAACAACAATTCAAGACAGTCCTGCATCTATCAGCTACCTTCTAGTCAAAATCGAGTTAAAATTGGTCCAGTCAAGTCTTGGGCTAAATCGGACATCTGCAAGTGCGCACCGTATTAGTACAATCGGGAAAACGTACTAGTACACGCTTTTAGTACGTTTAATACTTCAGATTTGTGAGAAAATAACACGAATAGAATATAACGAGGGTTATAGATTACTTCACATCATTTTAAGCATTGTCAAATATGTTATTAGCGAAAATAAATTTATGTTATAAATAATTTTATCCACTTTTGATTTTTATTACCGAAGGTGGATGCTTCAATCTAGAAAATATACAATCAAATCAAACAACGAAGAAGCGAACATCTATATCGTGTAGTGTACTAAAAGTGCCAAATGTCCGAGAACAGAAGCCGTTCGGTAACGTTACTTTTAGTACAGTTCCGAGTAATATTACTTTTTAGTACATCGTACGAGTACTACCCAACACTAGTTCAGTCGTTTTGAAGATTACCCGGAATAAACACGTCTTGCGAACAGATACAGACATTTAGAAAATTGCTTTAAACACTAACGCAAATAGATCATGTTTTTAAATATTTTTCAATAAGACACTCCGATTCTTTTTGTAGAAAATATTAGTAGATTTTTGTTAATTTACTAATATTTCCTTTAACCATTCCAACTAAGCTCTAGGCTTGTGCCTATTATCGTATGGTTCACGACAATAGTCAAATAGCGGGATTCGAACCCTAGACCGTAAGATCGGTAGTCCGTACCCCAAACCATTAGGCTATTGACGCTTAATAATATGTATTATATAAATTATGCATTTGGAATTGCTATCAGTTGTTCCTTGTCGCTTCTCCTGTCCTTGTTGTGTTAGAATTAATAAAAAATGCCAAATCATCATAAGAAAGTTAATTCTGATGGTTTATAATTCAAATTAAAATAACAGATTGACGGAATAAAATTCTTAACATAGATTCATCATCATAAATTCATCACCAGCTCACTATAAGTTCCCACCGAGGGGCTCCGAGCCTACCCAAGACCTGTAGATTACAAGTGTTCAAACCACTGAGCCACCGACGCTCTGATATAACATAGATGCTAGAGATATACGGAAGAATTAAAGTTTCGTTGGACTCGGATATATTATCTTTATTCAGTGTTTTATTAATATAGTAATACTGACGTCGGTCTGTTTAGTGCACTCGATATCATTGCCAATGTCAGATACCGATAGCGATTGTATAATCAACACTTCAGACACGAGTATGTGAGACGCTTTTAAATTTTCACTTACTTCATGCAAAAATAACTCCGTTTGCATTTAAAAGATATTTTTTTAATCAAACGCCTTTACAATTTTCTAAAGATCTCAAAATGTGAACACATTTTTAACAGCTGACTATACTAATTTTGGTATTTTTTCTATGGTCTATATGTGTTAAGTTAAGTAAAAAAAGCAAAAAGCGCACGCACACCTTTGACTAAACTATCGCACAACTGTTTCGTCGCGCTTTGATTAGTTGTGCAACTAAACAATTGAATGTGCTGCGAAACAATCGACAATCGCACAACAATTGTCCGATAGTTTAGTCGAAGGTGTACGCCCGCTCTAAATGGTGACAGAAATCTCGACATAATCGACGCTTCAGCTGTTCCGAGTTATTTCCCTACAAATTAAAAACTCGAATACTGTTTATTTATCTTCAAAAATTGCTTCCACTAATTGCTAAGTACCATCAAGGAAAAGTGAACCCTCTAGCGTAGCAATAAAGTGTATATTCCAATGTTATACATCGGCCCAGTTTTATAGTAGGCCGTTTTTAGTTGCGGAATATTTCAGTCCTCAAACACGTTTCAGGAGCTCTTACAGCGTGTGGCTGAGTACAGAGGGATGCTTCGTGGATTAAATTAGTAACACGTAATCATAAAGGATCCATTGGTTATAAAAAAACAAATCGGCAGACTTTTTTATGTCACGAGATTGACCTAGACTATCATCTATACATATAATAAAATTGGAGTGTCTGTAATATAAAAAAAAAAACAGATTTCGGAAAGATGTATTAGCGTTGCTGATAACGAAAATCGCATTTAATTTTTTTGTCTGTCTGTCTGTCCGCAAGCCGCGTTTGTTCCGGGTAATCTACGAAACGGCTGGATCAATTTCGACCGGATTTTCACTGAAGGGTAGCTGACATAGACGGGCATGTTATAGGCTACTTTTATCTTAATATTGCGTGGACGAAGTCACGGCAACAGCTAGTATATAATTAGGATGTTAAAAAAATTAAACTAGTTAATAATGTAACTTAAACCAAGCAATATAATTTGCCGAATTAAAAATAATTTATATTAAATTCAATGTATGCCCATTGTCATTGCAATGTAGTGTAAAAGGTCGGGTCTAATTAACTTAGGTGTTACATTGGTACACGCAATTGTGACATGATTGATAGGCAAGTCCCTCCCTACATTAGTCGCTTCTAATTATGTCTGTTAAGTAGCTAACATACTAAAGTATATACGTTCTATTATCTATACTATATATAATATTATAAAGAGGAATGATTTGGATTTTTGTGTCTTTTTAAATAACACAAAAACGACTGCGCCGATGTAATTCTTTCACCATTAAAAAGCTACGTTATCACTGAGTAACATAGGCTATACTTTTTATTGTTTTTTTAATTTCTAATGGACAAAGTCGCGAGTAACAGCTTGTGTACAATAGAGATTCATAAAATGCAATGTTATTAAATAAATAATGTATAATAGAAGTTTAATTTTTTTTATTATGTAAGAGAGTTTGAATTATCGTATCGAATGTCCTACATATACTCTGTGCCAAAATGCACACGTCAGAAATAAGCGTCATGTTACACTCTATAGCATTGTATGCAAAATTTCAGTTCAC